ATTCAGACCCGCTGCGTCAGTGTTGATTGAGAGACCAGGCCGGACCTGCAATAAAACTCTTGTGTGCTTTACAGCGGTATCGGCTCCTTGGTGGTCTTTGGGATGACTGAACTGGGCATAACAATGGAATCTGCTGATCCCTTGACATTTTATTTCCCTGGTTCCAGACCTGAGAACAATGTATTCCTGTTGTTTGTATATAATCCAGCTGGGGTAGGCAGTTGGTATAGCAGTTAAGATGCTGCTTGGGAGATCTGCCTCTCCAATCAGATGGCCTGGATCTGAGAACCGACTCTGCTCCTTATTCAAGCTTCCCGTGCACCCTGGGAGGCAACAGGTGATGACTCAAGTAGTTGACCCCTTTCACCCATGAGGGAAACCCAGATTGAATTATAGCGTTCTAGCTTCAGCCTGGCCTAGCCCCAGCTGTTGCAAGGATTTGGAGAGTAAACAAGAGCAGGGAAGATCTCTCTCTCTTTTTCTCTTTCCTTCAAATAAAATAGATAAATTTTAAAAATTATACAGCTTGTGATATTTTGCTATAGCAGCTTAAACAGATAGAGACAAGTGGTATGTGGCTATTTTTTCAAGTTTGCAGAAAAATAGAAGACTAATTTCTGAGTTCAATAATGATTAGTATTTATTTAATTTAGAGGATTTTTATTTGAATACTGAAAATAATATTATTATTTTTGGACTATCCTGGGCTTATAAAAGCTATCAGTTTGGGTGTTTAATTTATTTTTTTAAAGATTTATTCATTTATTTGAAAGACATAGTTACACAGAGAGAAGAAGAGGCAGAGAGAGAGAGAGGTCTTCTATCCGCTGGTTCACTCCCCAATTGGCCGCAATGTCTGGAACTACACCGATCCAAAGCCAGGAGCCAGGAGCTTCTTCCAGGTTTCCCATGTGCGTGCAGGGGCCCAAGGACTTGGGCCATCTTCTACTGCTTTCCCAGGCCATAGCAGAGAGCTGGATTGGAAGAGAAGTAGCTGGGACTAGAACTGGTGCCCATATAGGATTTCTGTGCTTCAGGCCAGGGCATTAACCTGCTGAGCCACAGCAACGGCCCCTGTTTAATTTCTTTATCAGCAAATGAGGGGAGGAAATTCAAAATGTCTGCAATTCCCTTAGTTTAGATATTTATTGCTTTTCATTTTATTTTCCTTTTTTAAAAAAGATTTATTTATTTATTTGAAAGAGTTACACAGAGAGAGGAGAGGCAGAGAGAGAAAGAGAGCCATCTACCATCTGCTGGTTTACTCCCCAAATGGCTGCAGTGACTGGAGCTGTATTGATCCAAAGCCAGGAGTCAGGAGCTTCCTCTGGGTCTCCCATGTGGGTGCAGGGGCCCAAAGACTTGGGCCATCTTCTACTGCTATCCTAGGCCATAGCAGAGAGCTGGATCGGAAGTGGAGCAGCCAGGTCTTGAGCCAGCACCATATGGGATACTGGCTCTGCGGGCCTTGGTGTTAACATGCTGCACCACAGTGCTGGCTCCTCTATTTATCTTTTAAATTTAATATTTATCAGGTTCATGTCATAGTCTTTTTCTTCTCTAATATTATTAGAGTACGAATAAGTTTATTTTTAAGGACAATTATGTGACAATGCAAACTGAAAGGTAGATTATGTTTTTAAAATACATCAGACATAAAACAGCAGACATAAAACAATGTGGATTCTAGTTTTGATATATGAACTAAGAAATTAAAAACTTTGATCTACTTTGCATATATAAAAGTATATGTTTTTTTTTTAATTCTTTTTGGAAAGTAGCTCAGGGATGTTGCATTGACCCTTGCAGCTCTCCATCTTTGGAGGCAGGTAGAGTGAATTTTGTTGATCCTGGCTCCATTTGTCTTCTGCTCTTGCTGCAGTCAACAATGACTTTGACTTCCATGTTGTCAAATCCATGAACAGCTGTCATTCTTTCTCTTCCTGGACTTTCACTAATCTCTGGTTTATTTGATGAACTTGACTGATTTCTTCATGTTACAAAAACAGTCTTTAGATCATAATTTCACATTCTTTGATCAGTTTTCTTTCCTTTAATGCTGGCTATTTCTCTTTTACACAACCTAAAGTCTTTGTATAGTGCTTCTTTGTTCTCCAAGATGGTGGAATTGACACATTACCAAGAAAGGACTCAAATCATTAATAAAGACCCTCCCAACAAAGAAAAGCCCAGACCAGATAGCTTCCCCACTGAATTCTAGAAAACATTTAAAGAAAAACTAACTCCAATTCTTCTTAAGTTATTTGAAACAATTTAGAGAGACAGAATCCTCTAAAAATTCTTTCTATCAAGCCAGTATCACCTTAATCCCTAAACCTGAAAAACACACAACAGAGAAATACAGACCAATCTTCCTGATGAACACAGACACAAAAATCCTCAGCAAATACTAGCCAATTGAATCCAACAGCACATCAGAAAGTCATCCACCTGGACCAAGTGGGATTTATCCCTGGTATTCAGGAACAGATCAACATTCACAAATCAATCAGTATGATACAGTACATTGACAAATTGAAGAACAAAAACCATATGATTATCTCAATAGATGCAGAGACAGCATTTTATAAAATAAAACACACTTTCATGATGAAAACTTTGAGAAAATTGGGAATAGAAGGAACATTTCTCAACACAATCAAGCAATTTATGAAAAACCTATTGCCAGCATCTTATTGAACATGTAAAAGTTGGAGGCATTCCCACTGAGATCCAGAGCCCAACAAGGATGCCGACTCTCACCACTGCTTTTCAATCTAGTCCTGGACATTTTAGCTAGAGCCATTAGACAAGAAAAAGAAATCAAACCAATACAAATTGGGAAAGAGGAAATAAAACTATCCCATATTCAGATGATATGATTCTATAAATAGAGGATTCAAAAGAGTCCAATAAAAGACTATTGGAACTCAAAGAAGAGCTTGGAAATGTAGCAGGATATAAAATCAACACACAAAAATCAATCATCAATAACCTTTGTATACAGGGACAATTCCATGGCTGAGAAAGATCTTCTGAGATCAATCCCATTCACAATAGCTACTAAAAATATCAAATACTTTGGAATAGATTTTACCAATGATGTCAAAGATCTCTATGATGAGAATTACAAAACATTAAAGAAATAGAAGATAAAAAAAATGGGAAAAATTTCTATGTTCATGAATTGGAAGAATCAATATCAAATGTCCATACCACTGAAAGCAATTTACAGATCAATGTGACATGTATCTTATCAAAATACCAGATATTTTTCTCAGATACAGAAAAAACAATGTTGAAATTCACATGGAAACTCAGGAGATACCAAATAGCTAAAGTAATTTTATACAACAAAAAGAAAGCTGGAGACATCACAATACCAGATTTCAAGACATACTACAGTATGGGTGATCCTTTGCCTGGCTGGATGCTGCCAGCCTAGCCCATGCAGGGGGTTAAGAAGGTATGACACACCATGCCTCCTGGGAAGGACCCTATAACCTGACTGCTGACAGGCAGCAGGAGCCCCAGGCACATTTCCCCCACCCTTGTTTCCTATTGAAGGGCATTGTAAATGTCAATCAAGTAAACAGCTCTGGGGTATGGCCCAGACCCATGAGGACCACCTGGAAGGCTACTTAGGCTACACGACCTTCAAGTTAATTAGAGAAGCATAGAGGCACCAGTATTGGCTTCAACCTACAGAATTAGTGTTACCGTGAACTAGCCACTCCCCTTTTGCTTGACCCATAAAAGTTTATGCTTGATTTTTAATAAATGGACATGTTCACTGAAACTTGTCTCTGGTTCTTCTTGTTGAAGAACGCCGTCATTCCACCATCCCAACAGTGTGGGTCTCACAGGATGAGCCCACACTAAAGGGCATTTATAATTGAAACAGCCTGGTATGGTACAAACACAGATAGGTAGACCAATGAAAAGGAATAGAAACATCAGAAATCAATCCAATCATCTGCAACCAACTTATCTTTGACAAAGAGCTAAAATCAATCCCTAGAGTAAGAACAGCTCTTAAGTAGTTATGGTCTGGTTGAAAAGCCCAGGGGAAAATTTCAGGCATGGAAAGCCAAGACACCATAGAAAAAAGTGTTCTACATAAAAGACCTCTGTTGGTGACACCCCAGTGGAAAGAAGCAGCCACCACAGCCACCAAAAAAGGATGTACTTTCCTCTGAAGGGAGGAGAGAACTTCCATTTTGCTTACGGCCTTGTAGAGCTAGTGGATCCAAAAGGCTTCCACAGCTTAGGCAGCTCATGTTAAGAGCCTCAGGTCACTAACACAATATGTAAGAGTGTGTTAATTGTTAAATAAACAATGTGTCAGTGTGCACTAACTTCCCATGCAGGACCTCTGTCCTTAAAGAGTTGTATCATGAGACTTATGGGCAAAACTTGTTCTCATGAAGCACTTCCTTTTAGCATATTAAGTGGAGGATATTCTTATGTCTCATAAGTTATACTAATGTTTAAGAACTCACAAAACAGCATTCTTGGGCTCTTTAAGGATAATTAAGTTTATACAAGGAAAGAAAGGGGAGGAAGGACGAGAAATGAGGAAGGGGAAAAAAAAATGAAATCACCTTCAAGATGCAATAGCTTGGGACAGCCCTTCTGTGGGTTGTTGAAGAACAGTTTTTTTTTTTTTTCTTCTTTCTCAGACTAGGGATTGAACTCTTTACCTAGAATAGTATTAATACTCTGAATATAATGACAAATGAAAATAGATATTAGTGAAAAACTGGACAGGGAACAGGAAAAGGAAAAGGAAGAGGGGTGGGAGAGTGGATGGGAGGCTGGATACGGTAGTAAAAATTACTATGTTCCTAATGTTGTCATGAGATGCATGCAAATAAATAAATGAATAAATAAATTCAACAATAGTTAACTATTTCAGAAATTCCCTTAATTGCACATAAAGGAATGCTGGTTCTTCCTAACACTGCAGCTCAACTCTTGTGTGTCTTTTGTCATGAAAGGTTAAGAAGTTAAACTTGCTTGGCTCGAGTGGAAGTTAAATGCAGTGATAATTTGTCAAAAGTTGATTAACCAGAGATGGACGCAAACTTGAGTCTCTTTACTACTGACAGAAAAAACCAAATTTTTCTTTTTGGAACAGAGCATTTAGCTGAGCCCATTGAATTCTAGGTGAGTATCAGATCTTTTTCTTCATGCTGTATTGTTTCCTCTTAGGAAGGTGTCAGAAATGCTGATCACCAAGCAATGACGTTCTTGGCAAGAATGAAAAGACAGTCATGGAAGTCTTGAGTGAATTATTTGGTTCATATCACATAACACAGTTGATTTGGCCAGTTTGCACTTGGTGTCTTTGCCAATAGTTATTTAAAAAGAATAAATTCTCAACCATGGAAGGCAGATTCCTTAAACATTTTCTCCTTTTCAAAATTTTGTATAAGGTGGTGTCATTTGCAAGATCAATTTGTAGACTTGCATAAGAAGAAAAAAATACAATTACTTGGGGGGATATTCAATGCAATAATTAGACTCGAGTATAATTATACTTTTTTGTTATCACTGTCTATGCACATTTCTTGTTTCATTTATTATTCACATTGTTTCTTTTACCAAAATCAATCATATTCTTTTGGTGTTGTAAGGGATCCAAACAGAAATGAGTTTTGCGGTGACAGGATTTTGTAAGTAGTACCACTTCTCTTTGCTCACTTGACTCTAAAAACTCATAATAGATTCAACTCAGTTGCCTATATATAAACCATTTGTAAATATTTTTCAGCATTTTAGGTGTCTTATGAGTAACAAACAGGTTTATGGAGGATAACCAAATCATAATGTAGGATGGGATATATATTTTTTGAAGTAATGCATCATTATAACAATAGATAGACAAAGTAAGTCACAATTCTCTCTGTTTTGCTAGTCAACTTACAATTCTTAATAAAAATGAAGGAAAATATTTATTCTGATTCAGTCAAAATTTACCATGATTTCACTGATGTCTTTCAAGAATCCCATTCATTACACTTTGACATGGTCAATTGCTCATTTAGGCTCTTGAAGCCCTTCTGTACAATTCCTCCAGTCAGGCTCTTGGATCCACCTTCTCCAGTGAGTTTTGCATAGTTCAATACTTTTCTCACTGTTGGCTGCTTTGACACTGTCAAATACCTTAATCCTTTTTTCTCTATCTTGAATGTACTTTGTTTTCCTGCTCTGGAATTCTTTTTAATGACCGTTATGACCCTTTGTCCTTTGGAAACAAGAAGACAACACCTAAAATCATGCATGTGAAACATTAACTTTGCTTGGATTGCAAGCTAAAAATAAAGCTCTCAATCCTATTGAGTCACTGTTCCTCTGATTAAGTCTTTCTACTGGAAGTACAGGCTAGGATTTAATGGTTCTGTCATTCTGTTCTACTATAACGAAGGTGAAAATGATTGTCTAAGTTTTATTTTAATTTTTAAAAACTTAGCTGCTTGAAAATACCAAAGCCTTAACAATTTCTCAAGTTAATTATTTTAATTTACTTACATTTAATTTACTTACATTACTAGAAAAATGACAGTTATTATCAGAAAAATATCTATATATATGCATATATAATAAATTGTTGACTCAACTTCTTAGAGAACAAGTAATGAAATTATTTCAAGAATGAAGTTGTAATGACTGTCAGCAAATTCATTTTTTAAAAAAGATTCATTTATTCATTTGAAAGTCTGAGTTGCAGAGAGAGAGGAGAGGCAAAGAGAGAAAGAGAGGTCTTCCATCTGCTGGTTCACCCCCCAACTGACCACAATAGCTGGAGCTGCTCTGACCTGAAGCCAGGAGCTAGGATCCTCTTCCAGGTCTCCCATGTGAGTGCAGGGGCCCAAGGACTTGGGCCATCTTCTACTGCTATCCCAGGCCATATCAGAGAGCTGGATCTGAAGTGGAGCAGCTGAGACTCAAACTGGTGCCCATATTGGAGGCTGGCACTGCAAGCAGCAGCTTTACCCATTATGCCACAGAACCGGCCCCCATCATTCCCTTAAAAAACCAAAACCAAACCAAACCAAATAAAACAAAAACAAAAAAACACCTTTCTCTTAGGAGGAGGTGGAGTATACAATATTAATAGGTATTAGAACATATTAGTTTTTAAAATTTTAATCCTTAGAAATCCAATTTTGTTAGGAATTATGTACAATATTAGTGTTATAAGTAACATAGGATATCAAACATTTGGAAATTTTATGTTATTGAAATAACAAATGAATGTAATCCATTATTTTAAGAAGATTAGTTAACATTTACTATGTAATGTAAACCATTTTTATACCTACTAGATCATATAACACTTTACCAAAATGATTTATACTGCTTTTGAGATCCTACAATGTACCTGATTATGGAGTTTCAATAAAAAAAATAATGAGAAACATACTGGATATAAAGAAGATGGTTGTCTTAGCTTGGGAAGAAAATAATTATGAAGAGTTTGTTTTCATGTAATTTCATAAAGCAATATATTTGCCAATATTAGCAAGGGCAGAAGCATTCAAATTAATAAAAATCTGTGAGTAAAATTAAACTATGTGTCTTCATAATTTGTACACTTTATACAAGGAACCCTCAGGAAGTTAATGCAAATTGAAATTAAAAGACGAGTATGGCAAAAATAATTCAAAATCCATCCATGAGAGATGAGCATTATGAAAAATCTATGATAGATTTAAAATTTTTCACTCATACTTAAATTATTTTTTCCAAGATCTTTTAAAGTAATCTTATATTCATATATAATCTGTCATTTTCTTAGACAGATATACGAGATTCATTGAGAATACAAACATAGGAGAAGGCTTTATGCAATATGATTTGATGCATTTATTTGTTACTTCTTTAAGAATTTTGTTCAAAATAAGAAAACAAAAAGAAAAGAAAGAAGTAGGGAATAGAAATTCCTAAGCCATAATTCCACGTGGAATTAGAGCTCTGGTGTTATTACAGAGGGAAATTGATTTTTCAAGTGTCTTAATCATTAAAATAAACTATGATCTCACAATTAAACAAATTACAAAAATAAAAACCAGGGGGCAGCATTGTGGTGTATTGGGTTAAGTGTTGTCACAAAGTTGGCATCCCATTGAAATGATGAGTCCTGGCTGATCCAGTTCCTTGCTATTGCACCTGTGAAGCAGTGCATGATGGTCCAAATCTTTGGGCTTCTGCACCCCCACAGAGGCCCCAGATGGAGTTTCTGGCTCCTGGCTTTGGTTGGCCCAGTCATGGTTGTAGTAGCCATTTGGAGTGTGAACCAGCAGATGGGCGATCTCTGTCTGTCTGTCTCCTTCTGTCTCACTGTCACTCTCCCTTTCAAATAAATAAATCTTTTGGTAAAAATGAAGAGTATAAGAAATTGTGTTAATAACAAAAGAACTGGGTAGGTGTTTGGCATGGTGGCTAAGAGCCTGCTTGGGATGCTATATCAGAGTGCCTGGTGTGAGTCCTGGTTCTGCTCCTACTTCCAGCTTGGGCTGCCGCAGATGATGGTTCTAGTTCTTGAGTCCCTGCCACCTGTGGGGACTTAGATTGAGTGCCAGGCTCCAGACTTGGGCCAAGCACAGTCGAGCTGGTTGAGATATGTGGGAATGGAGCCATCAGATGGGAAATTGTTTTCTCTGTCTCTCTTTTAAATAAAATGAAAATGAAAATAAAAATTCTATTAAAAAAAAAACAAACCCAGTGCCTACCCAATACATGTGCAGAAAATGAAAGGGAGGTTGAAGGGGAAAGGAAAAGGGAAAGAGAAGGAAAGGGAAGGGAAGGGAGGCAGAACGCCTTTGTGAGGCTAGTGGCATCCAAGGATGGTATGAGCTACAGTGTTGCCATTCAGAGGTCTGAGTGGTTCCAGTGGCCACTTTCAGGAACAGGAATCATAACAGCTCATGGTAATGCATGAGTTGGGAGTATTCTTGACTTTATATGCTTAGCCTATAAATGTTTTAGAATACTAAAGTGGACAATGCAAGTGTGTGTTATATATTTCATTCTCTTATCTATAAACCAGGAAGGAAAATGTATTCATAATACAATAAAGAAATCAAGAGGCAGAAAAGTCTGCTGGATATCTAATTTCCAGAAATACTACTAATCTACAGGCAAAAAGATGTTTCAAATGTAGATTTTTCAAGTACCAGAAAATTCTACATTATAGAAATAATTATTAAAGAATATAATTTTCCCATATGAAAATATAATTTTACCAGTCAAGAAAAAAGGTGTGTATTGTTTGCTTAAACGTCTGCTGACAGCAACTTCATCCTATGACCATTTCCTAGTCATGTTATTTTCCTGTCAGTTAAAAGTGAGCCACCCCATATCAATATAATATGCATGCATCCATTCATAAAGTGATTCAACATTGGGTTGAGGTAATATTGTAAAGGAAAATATTACTGATTTCTGGCTAAGTGGTTTTCATTGGTGGTATTAATCAATTTGACATGTTCCTAAATAGGTCTAATGCATTTTTAAAAATATTCAGTTTCTTAGGATGACTCATAATGAATATTTTGGCTACAAGTATTTTTGCAGGAGCTAGTGATGCCCCCTGAGTCAATTCTGTGATCAAGAAAACATAAGCACGTCAACCACACCAAATGGGAGCTTGCTGATGTTCGATCTGCTCCCCATTCAGTAACACCCAGCTACCCTCAAAGATACTCCAGAAACTGCTCTACAATCTCTGTTACAGGGCAGAGTCCTAGGAGAGAGAATTGGCTTATGAGGACTGTTAATAGTAAAAGACGATTACTTGCATATTTCCAACGACTTCTGCGATCAGTATAGGATGGTAATTATTCCCTGCGTCATCACTCGTGATGAATGTGATGACATAACCATTGGACAGAAAGCAGTTAATAAATCAGTGCGACAGCAATCTGCTGGAAACCCTGCGCTGCTCTCTTTCCGGGGCAGGCGTCACAGAACGCCGTGGGGCTGAATGCCAAGCAGGCTGAAATGCCAGCCTCTGCTGCAGGGGCACGAGGCCGTGGCTGCCGCTGCTTTTGACAGGCTCTGCGTTCCTCAGAGAGCCAGGGTGTTATGAAGTCTCTAAAAGTACTCAGTATTAGATTTTTAGGCATAATAATCAGAATATTATCCTTTTATGGGAGCGCAGGTCAGACAAGCAACACAAGGGCGCATTCTGCATCATTTCTGTAACCCAAGATTCTTGGAGAAGAGACAATTCCCTTCTCTCTTCACTGCGACATTAAAAACTATCTTCAGTCCTGTCAGTTTACCTTAGGCCATTTGCCATCACCAGCCTTGTGTTTGCACCCCTCCTCATTGATTTGCAGTGTCATAACGGACTATGCACTTATTGCTGTGCACAGACTGACACACAGGAAGATATTTTTCTCTTTTCCTGAGAGCCAGGCTACTGTGAGAAAAGCAGACAGGAGATATAGGTATCGCCTGCTGGTTTTTGCAAAGAGACAGCTAAGCTTTTATGAATTAACAATTGGCACAGCTGACAGCCCGTTGGCCCCTTTCATGGGGTTCTGGGTCTAGGACATGAGTTCCAATTTTTTGAGCAAGTGATACCTCTTGAGGGGTTAGGGCTCATGGCTTCTCCAGGGAGCACCGAGTGTTAATGGGCCAAGTCAGGCAAAGTTATTGAATTATTTAGGCTGTGAAAGCAGTGGCTCACAGATTCTAGAGTAACAGACTATGTAGCTCTAAGTCTCCCAAAGCATCTCTCCTTGTCAAAGGATAATAAACCAAGGGCATCCAATAGACAGCTTGGGGCTTCTAGCACCATCTTTACAGTTTCAGGGGAATTTTTTCCTGAGCTTTATAAAGCATCAGTGTTTTATCATGAAATATAATGTTTTCCATTACTTACCAAATGAGACTCTTTTATTGCTTTTTGGTTCAAAGGCTTGAAGAAAGTGGGCTGAATGGAGAACCATCTCTGATTCTTGGGCTGGGCAATTTCCTTTGGTGAAAATCACATTTGGCATCACATAAATATGTTTAGAGAATTGTGGCCCAATACTCAATGAACTGTGGTGGAGGACTCTGGAGAGCAGCACCAGGAAGACACCGCTAAAGGAGTGTCACCATCCAAAGCTGGAATTCCTGATACATGAATCTTACTATTGGGAAATTTAGCTAATTGTATGTGAAACATTCACTGGCTTTCTCCTCAGTTTTTTTTTTTTTTTTTTTTTTTTTTTTTTACTGTTTCATGCAAAACACACATTCTGTGAAGAGAGAAAACTCATGCATTCTAAAAAACCACTTAAACTACATTTGTTGCCACATGCAATGAACACTAAAGAACTATTTCCGTTCTCCACAATCAAGTCTCTTCATCCAACTCTTCATCTTAATTTCCACGGTAAGAATGTTGTCATGTACAATAGGACATCTCACAGTTTGGTTTACAGTTGTTGGCAATGCATGCTCCATGTTGAAAGGTAGCTGCTGAGTGACCCCAACTTGTGAACAACTTGTTACGCAAAAAATGAATCCTTTCTCCTTATTTCCATGTTCACCCTCACCAGGACTGTGTGATTTTTTCTCTTTGAAGGAGGGCAGAAAGTAAATTTACTAAAATATACTAAAAAAAGTAAAATATACTAAAAGTAAAATATACTATAAGAAAGTATGTTTTGACCAGATACCAAAGAAGGGTGAATCATTGTATGTGGAAAACCTTATCTGGCTTCAAATGCTATTGTTAAGCTTGGCCAAAAATGTTTACACATTATTATTATTTAAAAATTTTATTATTTGACCATTCAACTGAAAATACGGAGAAAACAACAATGCAAAAATTTAAGCTAAGGAACCTCAGTGCAAACTGTCCTGCTGTTGCTAGATTCTGGTACAAATCTGCATCCTGTTTTAGCCTGTTGGAGTTTTAGTTCCAAGTGTGTGCATATCTCCATTTTTTCCCATTGAAAAGAAACTAATATAAATATTTGAGGATTCTTTATGTGTAATTTAAAAATTAATTCTATGAGCACAGCGATCTTTTACAAGCGGGAAGACGAAAGAACCAAAATTCTAGAGTTCATTGACATAATTTCGAGGTTACTCTCTGGGTAAGCTCAGCCTGCTGATCTGTTATTCAAAGATAGCTTTTGAGCATTTTGAAAACATCAATTTTTTTTTTCATCTTGGCTTCCTCTTTTTGACCAAAAATATGTCCACTCATATCTTTAATGAAGTACTTACTCTTCTGCCATGGGTCCAAAAACTGATCTTATAGGAAAATTCAGCTTTTTATTTACTAGTCAGAGGAAGATATCTTATTTTACTAATTCAGTTTTGTAATGGATATAAATTTATTGTTCTAAAATTATATTTATTTGCTATACTGAGTTTATTCCAATAGGCTTTCCAAACAGTGATCATGATTATTTCACTGTTCCCTGCCCGCTTTCAGGGACTGATTCGAAGTTCCCTGGGTCTCACATATTTCCCAGACATCAAAGGGAAGAGCTGGATGAATAGTCCTACCTGCACTCTGTCCACACTTGTTTGCAGAGTGATGCCATGTTTTACTTGCTTCTCAGTGCCTGTTCTATACAGATTGTTACTCAAATATCCCTTATCCTCATCTGAAGCACTAAATTCAGCTAATCTCCTTCTTCTACAGTACTACTTTTTGGCAGAAGGAAATCTTAGGGTTGCTCCCCAACACATTGTGCTTGGGGAGTTTTTGCAAATCTCCAATCTGCCTAGACATTCCTTGCAACTCTTTGTTTTGCTGCACTTTGTGTTGCATAGATAGCACTGTGCTGATGCTGTGCACTCTGGGACCTAAGCGGCCCATGTTCTCTCTATGGATGTTTACATAACACAAGATTCAACCACCTTTCTCTGGAGACTCACTACCTTGTTAAGGTCTCAGCTGCCTCAAACATGCCCAGGATGAAGACTACCTCAAAATAAACCATAAAATACAAAATAAACCGAACTGACCATTAACCTACATGAATGCTTTTTTCCCTTTCCCCTTTCAGTATAAAGAGATTTCCATTTTCCAATTGCAGCCTTTTCCTCTTACCTGATCTCTCCATTTGATCTCTTATTTTCTGAAGCAATTATTTTTGCATTTAATCACTTCCCATTGACAGACCCATTCTGACAGGGATGGTGATGATGATGATGGCGATGATGATGATGATGAGAGTTGTATCACCTATAGCAAAGTCAGGAAGACAGACCCACATAAGGTAGTTAAACAGAAGTTTAAAATGGAAAACCAGTTGTAAATGTGATAAAAGCAAGGAAAAGCTAAGTGGAAATAGACAATCTATTGCTTAGCAACTGCTGAAAGCTGACTTATCACTCATAAATACAAATGAGGAAAGATGATGCTGCCATAGTTTGGGGGCTGAGGGACTCTGGGGTATTTCAAATCATGTAGGAGAGGCAGTTCTTATTGAAATCCGTCGTGGAGCTGAAAGAGGGAGAGAGAAGAGAGAGAGAGAGAGAGAGAGAGAGAGAGAGATGACTTCTTTTTTTCTCTTGCCATAGTGTCCAGTAATTGCATTCAGAATGTTGAACCTAATTAGACACAAATGGATAAGGGAGCTGAGGAGATGGGAAGTCAGATATTTGTGGCACAGGGCAGGGCAAGGGGCATCAGGTCAGGATCTGAGAGTAAACAAATCAATCCCAGGCCCAATAGAAAATGAATCATAGCATCTGTTATCTTTACCAACCCTTGCTGCAGGCACTAATATTATTCCCACTTCACAGGAGTGAAAACTAAAACAATGTCAGGTTACAAAGATAACAAGGATGAAGGACAGGCTGGTTATGGGCTGGAAGAACAGAAGAGGACTTGAGAGAATATTAATCCTCCATGTGGTCACCTTTAGATAGATTCACTTGTTCAAATCAGTAGCTATCCCTTCAGTGAAAAAACATGAAGTGAAGTTGTCAAATATTTACATGAAAAACCTTACTTAATTACCAATTTTTCCTTAATTTACCTCAATCTCTCCCATCCCTTTTTTGTAAAAAATATTTACTTATTTATGCAAAAAGCAGAATGATAGAGAGAGGGAAAGAGAGGAAGTGAAAGGGAAAGGGAGAGATATATAGATAGAGATAGAGATAGATATATATATAGATAGAGATAGAGATAGATATATATAGATATATATAGATATAGATATAAATATAGAGATAGATAGATATAGATAGAGATAGGTATAGATGTAGATATAGATATAGATAGATTTAGATATAAACAGAGATAGAGAATGATGTAGAGATATAGATATAGATATAGATATAGATATAGATATAGATATAGATATAGATATTCCTTCTACTCTTTCACTGCCCAAATGGCCACAAGAGCCAGAACTGGACCAAGCTGAAGCCAGAAGCCTGGAACTCTGTCTGGGTCTCCCAAATAACACAAGTACCCAAGTACTTGGGCCACCATCTTTTGCTTTCCTAGGCACATTAGCAAGGAGCTGGATTGGAGGAGGAGCATCCAGGAACTTGAACTGACACTCTGATGTTGGATGTTGGTATCAAACTTGGAGCTTAAACCTGCTGTGTCAGGATGCTATCCCCTCTCATCTTTTTCATAATCAAGTTGCTTGAAAGATGTTGCTAAAGAAGTCATTTTAGTTCTTCTCTTGTCACTCACTCTATACACAGCAGTGGGTTCTAATTCTCCCGCTCCACTAAAATAATCTGTTAAAAGGATCCTAAAAGCTTGTTCATCGCAGTATATAGTAAATGCCTTTTATTCCTTCTTACCCTGCCCTTTCTCTTCTTGGTGAAGTTTTTGGCTGTTAATGTAAAGCACACGAAAACCTATTTGTTGAATTCCAGGCAATAATTGTCAGAGAAGAATAAGGCTACATCTATGTCATCAAATGTGTCTTCCATGTGAAAGATACCATGTAGCATTTAATTTATATCTGCCTGGCCAGAACCAAGATATAGGATCACATCTAGTTTCCAAGAAAGCTGGACGTTCATCATCTAAAGAAAGGAATTTTTTTTATTAAAAACAAGTATTAAATGGATATGGTGTTCTTGAAAGCAATCTCTGCCAAATATGTTATATTTGATGTCTTCAGCTGTCTGAATAAAATAGTAAGTAAGTCATTAATACTTAGGAAAATGGAGTTGAGACTATGGAGAGAGGACACAGTGTATTATGTCAGAATACAACAAAATAAATATACAAAGGAGACATCATGGCACTTCATTGATTATGATTTTTTATGTACTATATGTCCATCTGAATGTTTTTTCTTTTCCCTAGAAATATTCAGGTACTAAATTACAGGAAGTAAAATGATGTAGGTTAAAATTCAACAAGAATTCTCCTGAATATACAGTGGAGGGAAGAAGGATCAACAGAATTGAAAGTGTTTGCAAATAGTGACTGTAACAGCTTTGATATAATCAAACTGGACAGAAAAGAGAAATAAAACAGGGAAAAAGCTAATAAGAAGACTTTTACAGCAAGGAGGCTGGAGAAGTGTTGGGAACTGTAATATCTGAAGTCTGTATTTTAGATCTGGTTCTATTTCCAACAAAATCAAAGCCAAGTGTAGAAATAGATTTCTAAGGTACAGTAGAAATGAAATGAACAAAGAGATGAAATAAACGGAGAGATCAGCTCATGGCCCATTCATCTGTGCCAATGTTGAAATAGCTGCTGATGATAATGAGGTAGGGAGGAATGGTCTGCCCTTAGAGATGTCTTCAGTAAATGATAAAAAGTAGTGCAATAGACAGTAATCAGGACTCAAGGGAGGATGGCATGAAGGATGGCATGGGAAGATGAACTCCCTCAGAAGAGGGCCTGTGTGGCACTTGGGAGGGGACTCATGACCCGCAGGTGTCAATGAGAAGAAAGGAGTGCATCTATCACTTCACTGTGCCGACCTGTTGAGAGCAATTCAGTGGAAGAATTTCCATGAAAGGAAGACAGGCTTCAGAGAAGGTCAGCCAGTGATGAGGACCTTCAGAAAGGAGGTGGCAGTGCAGGGGAGTTTGCTCATCACAAATTGGACAAAGGAGGGTGCAATCCAGTTGGGTGGATGATTGTATAGAGAGCAGTGTGGGAACTGGTGATGGTTACCATGAATAGGCATACAAGGTATCACGGCCTCCAAGCTCACACCCTCAAATGAACATGATCCGGACACGTGGGTCACGATGCTTTTCCAATGGCTTACTAAAGAGCATCTCTTTCCTTCTGATGAGTTGAGCAGGGAGCTTTACTGTGATTGCTTGTTTAACTTTGTTAGCATTCTTAATAGTTCTATCTCTGCTAGATTATAAACTCTATGACATCAAAGTCTTCCTCAATGATTTCACAATATTCCTAGGAACTAGTATAGTGCTTGACATACATACCAAGGACACCCACTAGAAAATTTGCAAAGGTGAGAAAAAGAAATAATTGAAGTGAACTGGGTTTTGTATTTTTTTGTTACAAAGACTTTGCATATTTAGTTTAAATTAAAAAGGGAAACATTTAAAAAGGAGAGTAATCATTCTCTATTTCTTAATATGTGATACACTGTTGGTCTCACCTCTGCTTTTCAATTCTGTATGGACACAGGTGTAAAATATGTTTCTCTTAGCATAAAAACAGTGGTTGTCCCTGGAAAGGACAATTGAGAGAGGCAGTCTCACTGGGGAGAGGTCAGAACTGTGGTGAAGATGACGAACCTTTCTGTGCCCCAGCTGCTTATCTCACCTGTGCACTTGCAGGCTCTGGTTGTTCAAAGCAAGACTGAAATCAACACTTGTACCTGAAATATTCTGATTCTGAAATGTTGGTTTGACTTTCAGTACACAGCGTAGGCAAAATTTTCTCATGTCCAAAGGCTGTGTTTGAGCTCTCATCCTTGGTCTAGACTTCTGCTGTGCATTCATTAAGTATTTACTGAAAGAAGTCAGTGAGTGAGTAGTTTAAGGGAGGCCATATATTTGAGTTATGGACAACCATTTGGTTGTGTTTACAGCAGAGTCATTAATCCCAACAACTCTCAGAAGTTGTTTGCAACTTCCTAGCAATAACATGATGCTTCTTCAAAAACTCTTTCACCCAAAGTAAAGCTAATATGCAAGGAAAGCATGTCCTAGATAATCGTTTCTCTATTGTGAAAATATTTCATATGTACTTTATGGTTTGCTGTGACCCTTTCCTAAGGATAATGATTTTTGATCCATCTAACCAAGTTGATTCCAAAGACCTTGTATAATAAATCAATTATTATAAATATCAGATTGAATATTTTCCAGTAAAAAAGCAATTTCACAGTAAAATTGCTCTGTTTGTGGGGCTGTAGTAGATGAATAAGAAACACAGATATTAGGATATTATATTTCTATTACTTAGGATAGCCTAAGAATTTTTCTATATTGGTTTTAAAAATATCATTTAAAAATATCTCTAATTCAATGTAGTAGAATTGAGACTCCTCACAAAACATTAAAGATATCTATCTAACCAATAATAATACACCTATATTACATAAGATCTAAACATAAATATTTTCAAAACCATGCTTGAATTTCAATGCAGAAATATATTTATTCTGTATGTAGATTATGAAACTCATTTCCACAATTATATATCAGCATGCAAATAAACTCTTTTGTATTTTGAAGAGTCTTCTTTCTATGTCAGAAGAATAGTAAAAAATTGAATATTCCAATGAATATTGATCTGTCCGTATATAAAAACAAAACTAATCTGCACATTTTAGAACACTCAGTTCAGAATGCCAAATTACAAACTCTGTACCAAATAAGCATGACTTAATCAATATATGACAGCATCTCTAAATTTGTTCCTCTTCCAACTTAAGACCAATCCAAAAAAAAAAAAAAAAAAAAAAAAAAAACAAACAAACAAAAAAACAAATGAATACCCTTAACCAGTCACATAGGGTGCTTGATTCTAATCAAGTTCAGCAACCTCGTGCCAACCCCTCCAATCACAGCCTTTTCTACTTCATCATGAAGCTTTCTGATCCTTTGCCTTCATTTGAATCCGTGCCAAATGCAAGTGGTGGAGCTGGATGCCTTGCATTAGAGCCAGCACTGAATACACAGCCTGTGCTTGTTCTCAATTAGATGATCTTCATTTAATTTCATACTGGGTATTTATTTTTATTTGTATATTTTGAAAGGTGGAAAAATTGTTAACCTCCAACATTTTAGGTTCTTTGGTTGGCCTATGAATTAAAATGACATAAAATGATTGACAGTATAAAAACAATTTTAATTATGTTTATATACACAGGAGTGCCATAAAAATTGTGAGAAGTTGCCAGGTGATTATGCTTATGTGGATGGCAATCACAAGCTAGAGTAAAAACAGTGGCTTGGCGTTTCTCAGGGGCAGTTGAGACAGACTGTGGAAAAGTGTGGGAGGAGGAAATATATGATGCATAGAGGCTGCCTTGTCATGCAGATAAACGTCTCCCAAGTGATAAGAACTGTGTCAGTGTAGCCCACTTCTTGGTATAGATACATTTGCCATTGAACACTTCTTTTGTGGATGTACATTTTCTTTACAAATGGGGAATTTTAACTTTATTGCTGGTAGTTGAATTGGAAATATAGAGATTTTACTGTATTAGTGCATTTTTTATTTTAGGTGAAAGTAACACATTTGGGTATTGTTAGAACTCCAAGAATGATACCTCTAAAATATGTCAGTTTTTATCACTCTGAACAATTTGATACAAAGGAAATTAAACGAAAATCTTAAAATCCAGCTCAGAATCAATATCCCTCTAACTTTGCCTTGCTTTCCATACCTGCATCCAAGTGCCAAGAGAGACTCTGAAATTCCCTCTTGTGTATAAAAACCAGATTGCATAAAGGGAACACAATCGCCTTCCATATCCACCCTGAAAAGCCATTCACTATCTCAGAAAATAAGACTGAGGAACATAACCACACCTGGACAGACTTCTATTTCAAGATAATGTGTGTCCCTTGTGTCCATTCAAATTCCAAAGAGAATCATTTTGTGAGCTAATTTCAGTCTATAGCCACTCATTCCCCTAACATTTCTCTGTTCTCTGCATCCCTCAAAATTAATTCCCACATTCTCTCTTCCATTAGAAAAAGGGATATATAAGCTTTGACATTCTCTTGGGCTGCATGGTAATTGCACTAAGTGACTGTCTCCAGGCAAGGGGCACTTCTGTGAGCCTTTTCTCCAATTAATCTACCTTTGACAGTTTCTTCAGTTCCAAAGGACAGAAGTAAGGAAATAGACAATAGGCATTTACTCTGTGCCAGGACATCCATGTGGTAAATATGATGATTTATTATTATGGTAATAAGTGTTTTCTTTAAGGTAGTCAAAGGAAGAGAATCTTAGTCTCTTAATGAATAGGGAAGGAAAAGTTCCTCAATGGCTTGACTGATTTAAGGTCAGAGATTATAAAAGTGAAAGGAATTAATTTGAGGGTGTGAGGAACTAAAATCCAAGAGACACAGGTTCAGATACCTCTGAGTCAGTGTTCAGAGGAAGGAAGATGACAGTGGGTGTTTCCATGGGCAAACAGGATGGATTTGCTATGTAGAGGTAAAAGTCTCTTTGGATGAACCTTCTTTGAGAAAGAACAGGAGCTTTGTGAAAGGTGGAAGATAGAGAATAAATACATACATTTAGTAAAAAATGTCCATAAAATAAGAGCTGATGTACATCAGCTGGGGTCTATGGGTACCATGTAGTTATCAGATCCTTCCAGATGGCTGCAGCCATGTGTGGAGGTTACCAAAGTTCACCTAGTTAGGTAGAAGCTTGAGACATGCATAGGTATTTCTCCCGAATGCCCCTCAACTCCATTTTTAAAAGTTCTGTCCATGTTGCTTTCATTTTATTTTTGCCCATGTGTCTCCATAATACTTTCATATGAGAGTTAAAGCCTACTGAAGGGCTTGAATTTTACTGGAGAAAAAATTTTCTGTTGGTTATACTGGAAGGATAGGAAGAAAATGTTATTTTTGTAAAAGAAGGAATAATTCACAATTGCCTGATTAGAATTCACACATGAATGCAGCGCAGTTAGCCTTCCATTTGCCAAAGATTAAGGAGAAATTTGTTTTGGAAATAATAACGAGTACAGTAGATTGTGACCTGTAGAAAGGCTTAGAGTGATAATGATAATAATATTTAAAACAGTTTGTCAAATATCTGCCATGCATTAGCCTACTTTTAAATTCATGTTCTTACTTAAGTTCCACTAAAGTCCCATGAAGTAGATTTTATTTTTGTTTTGAAGGTGAAGAAACTGAAGCTGAGTGTATAATGCCCTCCAAAATCCACTGACAAGCAACAGAACTAAAATTCAAACTGAACTCTCAAGGGGCTTAAAATATATCTCTTCTTTAGTATTTCTGAGTTTTTCAGATCCTTTTAAAATAACTATCTCAACAAATATTTTTATTTATTTTTAACTTTTATTTAATAAATATAAATTTCCAAAGAACAGCTTATGGATTACAATGGCTTTTTCCCCCCATAACTTCCCTCCCACCCGCAACCCTCCCATCTCCCACTCTCTCTCCCATTCCATTCACATCAAGTTTCATTTTCAATTATCTTTATAAACAGAAGATCAATTTAGTATATATTAAGTAAGGATTTCAACAGTTTGCACCCACACAGAAACACAAAGCGCAAAGTACTTTTTGAATACTAGTAATAGCGTTAATTCACATTGTACAACACATTAAGGACAGAGATCTTACATGAGGAGGAAAGTGCACAGAGACTCCTGTTGTTGACTTAACAAATTGACACTCGTGTTTATGGCATCAGTAATCACCCTAGGCTCTTTTTTATTTTTTTTTTAATTTTTATTTTTTGACAGGCAGAGTGGACAGTGAGAGAGAGACAGAGAGAAAGGTCTTCCTTTGCTGTTGGTTCACCCTCCAATGGCCGCCGCGGCCGGCGTGTGCGCTGGTCCTAAGGCAGGAGCCAGGTGCTTCCTCCTGGTCTCCCATGGGGTGCAGGGCCCAAGCATTTGGGCCATCCTCCACTGCACTCCCGGGTCATGGCACAGAGTTGGCCTGGCAGAGGGGCAACCGGTACAGAATCCGGCGCCCTGACTGGAACTAGAACCCGGTGTGCTGGAGCAGCAGGCGGAGGATTAGCCTATTGAGCAGTAGCGCTGGCCCTCACACTAGGCTCTTGTCATGAGTTGCCAAGGCTATGGAAGCATTTTGAGTTCGCCAACTCCGATCTTAGGTAGACAAGGTCATAGTCAAAGTGGAAGTCTTCTCCTCCCTTCAGAGAAAGGTACCTCCTTCTTTGATGGCTCGTTCTTTCCCCTGGGATCTCACTCACAGAGCTCTTTAATTAATTAATTAATTAATTAAATTTTTTTTTTTTTGCCAGGGCATCTTGGCTTTCCATGCCTGAAATACTCTCATGGGCTCTTCAGCCAGATCCGAATGCCTTAAGGGCTGATTCTGAGGTCAGAGTTCTGTTTAGGACATCTGCCATTCTATGAGCCTGCTGTGTATCCCACTTCCCGTGTTGGATCATTCTTTCCCTTTTTTATTCTATCAGTTAGTATTAGCAGACACTAGTCTTGTTTGTGTGATCACTTTGACTCTTAGTCCTATCATTATGATCAATTGTGAACTGAAATTGATCACTTGGACTAATGGCATTGGTATATGCCAACTTGATGGGATTGTATTGGAATCCCCTGGCTCATTTCTAACTCTACCATCTGGGGCAAGTCAGATTGAACATGTCCCAAAATATTTTAAAAAGAGAAGTTTAAAATAGGTCCTCTAACAAGTCCTTCTTCTTTGATATGACTATATATTTGTGTATGTTTTGGGTTTGCTTTAAGGCAGTCAGTAACAGTGAGAAATTTAATATTTTTATAACTTCATTCATATGTATTGCACATTTATTCTGAATGATGCACTCTTCTAGGCATAGATGAAAGGTGGAAAATCTCTTGTATACCAATAACTTATAATCCAGTGGAAGAGAATGAACAAAATAGAGTTCTGCATGTGTGATGAAGAACAGGGTAGAAGTAAAGGAAGAGCTTCAGAGGAAACATGGCAACTCATTTTTCTTTTCTTTCTTTCAGTAAGCCTGTGCTAATCATTCACTATTTAACAGCAACTAGCCTAAATGCTAGACATTGAAAGGTGAATAATGCCTATTTTCCTGATTTAAATTTCTTACACTCACTAGGGAAAGGCCAGCGTGCATACAATTAACAACGACAGTGTTCAAGTGTATAATACAAGGACTTAGAGTTTCCAGGGTAACCGAGAAAGAGGTTCTTTGCTTATAGTACCAAGGAAAACTGAAATGCAAAAATAAATATTAGTTAATTAGTGACTTAGTGAGGGAAGAAAATCCCATACATGGAACAACATATTCTAAATATTTTGAATATAGTACTTGCTCATTAATTATCAGAATAAGTGAGAGAAGTATTAAGAGACGCTCTGTTGGATCAGTTGAGTTCTTGACATACTTTTTATTGTCTCTGTTACTTCTTCTAGAGATCAGATTCTACAATTCTGCCATATTGGTGACTCATTCCTTTGGCATTAGGGACCCAAAGTCATCACACAACATCTGCAGCTTATATTTTACTGAGACTATCAGTAGCTACTTCGTGGAGGAATTCTTGCTCTGAGAATCAAGAACTCTAACACTTAAGGTGGTAGAACAGGAAGTATTGACTCTTCAGGTAGATCTCTTAGATAAATAATGAGCCAGGTCCTTCCTAGCTCCACTTTTTTTTTTTCTCCAGATATATGTATTTGCCCTATTATGGATATGACACCATTTAAAATTCTTCATTTGGGGTAGCAAACACATGCTAGAGTTTGGGGTCTTATTCTTGCAGTTAGCAGCACAGCTGTGTGTTCAGAATATTTTTGGTGCTTCCTTAGGCTGGCAGCCTCAAAGTGGGGCAATATGTGAGTGAATCCGTGGATCCTGTAATCAGGTGCCTAATGTCACACCTTCTTTGCTACAGAGTAGTTCTTTTGGTTTTTGATGATAGTAGCATGTTGGTGTGCCAGCAGACTAAACATTACAAACATTTTTTAAGGTCTGTGGATAGCAAAGGCAAGCCTACACCAAAACACTAGAGATGCAAACTAAATTAATTCACTGCTCTTTTCAGGATTGAAGGGACTTAAGGTAGCCCTCCTTTGGTTGATTGGTCTCCTTGGGGATGGTTTACCTGGGACAGAACTTAGGTTAGCTCTGAGTGTTCTGTGTGCTGGGAACTCTCTCAGTCTAGCAAACTCAGACAGTTGGTCAGCCTATTTGATGCTTTACTAGGAGCTCTGTTTCAGTCCTCATTGATGATCTAGTGCACGTTGGGCACATTGGTGAGAGGGGACACATGCTGTTGTGTCTACACATGGGCTTTGTCTTTGTCATCATGACTGGTCTATTCATATGCTTAGTGTGCCAGCCACGAGGTAGCTGGTATTAGAAACTGGCTGAAGTCCACTGTTTAAGTCACAGTATCTACTCCTTTGTTTAGGCTTCTTAGATGATTCATGTTCATTCAAGAGCATAGGTATGCAAGGCAAACACCGTGTTTTATGTTTACTTCCATAATCATTGTCTAGGCTGTTTGTATTCATAGGTTCATGCTTTAGTTCTCCTTATCTATGACTGCTTTCTTCTCCCAGGTCCTACCCAAAATATGAGACTTTGTGAAAATCAGTCCATGATGCTATACACAGTCTTCATTTACAGATATCTATATCTTCAGTTTTATCACCTTTAACTTGACTTCTTTCACCATATCATTTATTTATGCATATCAGCTTATCAATTTTCCCCGAACTTGTGTCTCACAGTGAAGAAAATGTCATATTTTATTTTATGTTTCTGTCTGGTTGGTTGTTATGTGGATCTAAACAAGGCTCTACAGCTCTCAAATGGGTTCCTTTATTCATCTGTGAGCAGCTAGTGGCTTTGCTGGGCTCTACTTTATATATGGTGATCTTGGCTGGAATCACCCTTCTCTTTTTCATGCCCTTCTCCTACAAGAAAGTTTTGGCTTGCTATTGTAGCATTAAAAAGGTTCGATGAGAAAAAGCAAACATATTCAAGACTTTTTCGCCCTCTCTTCCATCAACACTGCTTCTGTGCGTTGGCCAGTGTAAGCTGTTTCATGTGGGAGTGCACTTTAAAAAGAAGTGGATTCAGAAGGCTGAATAGACTGCAACAAAAATAAAAGGGTTCCACCTCAGGTGCCAAAGTGATTGTCAGCACTCAGTTAAGGACACAGTATCACCATGAGTTATTTTGGATGGGAGTGAGAGTTATACAAATTTGGGAGCAGCTGAGAAGTGAAGATCTCAAATAGGGAAGCTAAAGGAAAAGAGAAGTAGTGACTCAAAGATAGTCTTGAATTACTTGTACAGGTATACACTCAGATAGTGAGAGCATGTGGGAACCTCTGAGAAGAAACATATGGCCCCAAAAGTGAGACCACAAAGAAAGGGTTCTTAGAGACCTCTGTCAATTATGCCATTTCTCTGGAAACTTCTGAGAATCTCCTAATGGTGGGCTTTGGTGGGTCTTGTTTGGTGAAGTCAGCAGCTGGGAAGGCTGGTTGGACACACAGCAAGAAAGGACTGAGGACTGACTGGGATCCAGACTTGAACTCATTTCATTTCTTGAAAGAATGTAAAGCAGTAAATCTTTTTGTGTCTGTCTCTTCCTGAAGCTGTGAGCCTCTATATCATGGTCATACTACCATGAACTTTTATTTCTAGATTTAAAAAACTAGTTTACTTTTTATTTATTCACTAAATATAATGTCTTTCCTCTACCAGCTACTCTTCATCTTTCTTTTATCTCATTCTTTCAAATATTGTTTACTTAATTTTCTTAGATTCTGCATCTTATACCTAGCTCCATTTTCCTGGATCTTCTTTCAAATAAGTCCTAACTTATAACCAATTCCATTAGGTTCCTACTTTTTAAATAAATTAGATACAAATTAGTTAACAAATTGAACGTGCCATTAGTTGAGTGGTTTTCTGGATATCTCACATCTTACTACATAGCACATATTTTAATGAGTAGAATAGACACTATTGGATAGCAGACAAGATGCTTTTTTTAAAGATTTTATTTCTTTCATTTGAAAGACAGAGTCACATAGAGAGGTAAAGAGAGAGAGAGAAAGAAAGACACACACAGAGAGAGACAGAGACAGACACAGAGACAGAGAGACAGAGGTCTTGCATCTGCTGGTTTACTCCCCAAATGGCTGCAATGGTTGGAGCTGAGCCAATTGGAAGCCAAG